CATCCTCATAGCCGTCGGGCTGCGCCATGTAGATATCCTCCAGCAGTATTCCATTGAGAAACGCTGTGGTGATATCCATCTGCTTCACGTGCCATCCCTTCACAGCTGCGCCAGCCATCAAAGTCCTCAGTGTCACTGGCTTAGCAACGGGAGCAAAGATCTCCCTAAAGTCAACCTTCTCTTTCTGCTGAAACCCCTTGGCGACCAAATGGCTCTTGAACCGCTCCAACGCACCATCAGCACCACTCTTTACCTTGAATACCCACTTGCTGCTGATCAGCCGTCGCCCCTCGGGTAACTCAACAAGCTCCCAAGTCCCATTCTCAATGAGACTGTTGAACTCCGCATCCATGGCAGCCTTACACTCCTCCTTTTGGGGCCCACTAAGTGCCTCCTCCAATGTGGCTGGTTCTCCAGGCAAGGTTGTGAAGAAACAGAACGCCATCTCCTCATCATCTCCCTCATCCTCCTGAACCGCCATGTCAACTTGCTTGGGTCCTCCCAAACAGCAATACTTCAGCCTTGAGGGTGCTGCTGCCACTCTCTTCTCGCGGGTTGCAGTCTGCTGCCCATGTGGTGAAGCTCCTCTCTGCACACTCCTCTTGGTGACCTTGGCGTTTGCAGCAGGCCCGGGCTGAGTTGGTGAGGCCACACGTGCGGACTCATCCTCCAACCCCTCCTCCGCAGCAGGACCAGAAACTTGCTGCTCACCACCGCCACTGTGGTCACTGGTCAGCTCTGACCCAGGGAGATCCTCAAGGTGCAGGTGAACCTTCTCCACTACATACTGCTCAATCTCGTGCAGACGCAAGCCAATCTGCACCTGCTGCTGCTGCTGCTGCCAGTCCTTATACATGACGTCCTCCACAAACTTGACGTCACGGCTGACCAGCGTCCTCTTGCTCTTTGGGTCCCAAATCAGCCACCCCTTTGAGTCTAGAGCCATCCCAAGATGGACAGCCCATACAACAGCAACTTCGAGCTTGTGCCTCTGCTCCTTAGGCACCATCACAAGCCCCATGCAGCCCCACACCCGCAGCATGTCAATGGATGGCTTCTTTCCAAGCCAACGCTCGTACGACACCCAATGCTTGTCGCCAACATGCGTCAAGACCCTGTTCTTGACCGTGATGACATGGCAAACGGCGTCAGGCCAGAACTTGTAGGGCATCCCGGCAGCCCCCAACAGAGTCTTAGCCGCCTCGCCAATGGTCCGGTTGCGCTCAGCAATGTCGTTCTACTGCGGTGTTCCAGGGCAGGTCAGCTGGGGCCGTATGCCATTCCTCTTGAGAAACTTGGTGAATTCCGCTCCAAGGAACTCTCCACCCCGGTCGCTCCTCAGCACCTTCACCAGCCGCATCGCTTGCCGCTCCACCATCGGCAACCAATCCTCCTTGATCGCCGCTGCAGCATCGCTCTTCTTGGACAAGGGACATGCCCACATGAAACAGTTCCATTCGTCCACCATGGTGAGGAAGTACAGCACTCCCCCAGGTCCATGTGCACCACCTTCAAGGGTGCCTTCGCCGATCCCTCCGCACGTGGAAACGGGAACCGCGCAAACTTGTTTTGCATCCATGCCTCGCAGCTGCCATAGTGAGCGCCATCTACTTGCAGTTGCAGCCCATGCACGCACTTCTCCTTGTGCATCACCTCCAATGTGGAAACAGCCACGTGTGCAAGCCGCCGATGCCAAGTCTCCCAATCCGCTAAGCCCGAGGTAGCCGACGCCTTCACTGCCGCACTTCCTCCAATGAGCTCCTCTCCTTGCACACCTTGCTGCTCCTTCTCGGTGACGCTCTCCTCCATTGACGCCGCCGCTGCCGCCTTGCCCGATTTCTGCCAAGGGAGGACCAGGATCTGCCACATCCGCTTGTGGACATCCCCTTTCCACTGCAGGTCTCAAATCAGCCGCTCATCGTTGTAGGCATGATAGCGCTCCGAGCCAATCGTCTCGGTGTTCACACCTCATCTCCCAACCGGCCAGTAGAAATCAGGTACGCGCACAATTCCGGCACCCACAGCACTTTCTTCAGACCCACGAGCTCTCCATCCGCTCCCATGAACTTGGCGCACCCCATGCCCATGACCTTGGCCTTAGTGCCCGTAGCGGATTTTGACGGCTGTTGAGAGTTGAGGTTGATCGCAAGGGCAGACCACGACTCTGGCTGCCGTATCCAGATCTCCATGCATTGCACGAGCTCCGGGTACACCACACCGCCGCCTTGGAGCTTCGTGAAGATGTCCCGCATCTCATCCAACGCCGGTTGCATCGGCTCTCCATCAACGAACTTGATGTCGCGCAGCTGCTGCGCGAGTAGCACGATGCCGGTAGCATGTGTCGGTGAGTGCACATCCAGAAGCTTCCTCCAAGCCTTGGGGCCACACTCTGGATCACCCAAGAGGTCCTTGATGTGGTCAAGTTGTCGTCCGCCAACCGCTTGCACCATGAGCATGTACGCGTCGAACGATCGCTTCATCCATGCTCCTTTCAGCTCCGCGGCCTCCGGCATCTTCTCCTTCCCCTCCACCAGATCAAATAGCTTGTATCAGGTGTACTTCAGCCTCATGCGCAATCTCCAGTGCTCGTAGTCCTCCCCCATGAATTTCTCAATAGAGAAAGCCTTCACAGGATCCACGGTTGTAGGAGATGGTGTAGAAGTTGAGGGTAGCGTAGGGTTGGCTGGTTGGTTAGTCCCCACTCCTCCACCAGCAACTCCCCCTTGCTCTCCAGCCTTTCTACTTCTATCCATCTCGCCACTAGCACCTCCGGAGTTCGTACCAACCATATTGAGGCCTTATGAGCGGTGGAAACTCCGGAGAACGGTACCAACCATATTGAGGCCTTGAGAAATCGTTTGGAGAGGATTCTGCCAGAAATTTTGACTTTACAAAAAACGCCATCCCAGACTAGATACTTTGATTAGAACGCGGTTTGACCACCGATCAAAATTTCGGAAGCAGGGCTACTAGAAAAAGGTCTCACTTGTCAACATTGGTTGAGAATTCATGACGATTTGTCGTCTCAAAGTCGACTACCCGCTGTGATACCACTTGTTGTTCAGGATCCGTTAATTTGAGAGCTTACGTCGAACTCATTTCTCAATTAAACGCAAATCCGCTCAGTAGGATGTTGCGCCTTAGGCTTAGCTACCATCTCTAGATTGAATCAGTCGTTAAAATGGTCTAGAGAGTGAGAACCGAGTAAAAACGTCCAGCAGCCGCATGGCTAGAATGGTAAAGGAAGTACAAGCATTAGAGAATAGAAAGTTGGAGTTGGGGACTCCAAGAGAACCGTGAGAGAGAAGGGGTTCTCCAAGAGCTAGAGAAGGATGGTAGGAAATTTCCTAGCAGCAAGGATGCAACCCTCATCATGAGGTCCTTGAGGTGTCACATGCAAAATCCAATCTAGTTGGATTTTGCCTAGGTGTTGCAACATTTGCAACTTATGCTAGAAACTTCTAGCCACCCCAATCCAAAAGTCAAAGTTGCCTTCCTAACCACCCAACCAAAGATCCCTTTATAGTCATGTCCCAGTAATCACCCAAATTAGATATAACCCCAAAAGGTAATAAGAAATCCAGGTCTTGGAAATCTTGCAACTTGGGCGATCTTGGTCGGAATAAGGCGATCTTGGTCGGAATAAGGCGATCTTGGTATCATTGGAAAGCTCTGAATTTCTCCTGCATGATCAAGCATTTAAACTTGGAGAAAAACACAGAGATGATAATATCCAACAGCCATGCACAATGACAAAGCTCATGCAAACAATGCACGTATGAATAGCACGAGCACTCGGCAGGACGTTAGGAGGACATGCACTCAGAATGATGTGCATCCAACACTGAGGGCGTGTGAACCTTCGTTTGCATTCAATAGATTTGTCATGTAACTGAACCTTTAAAATCTTATTGCGGTCGACATTTCACTGGTTTGGTTCGTGCACAATTCGTGGACGTCAACCAGGCATTCGAAATACGTTATCGATTGGTTTGTTTTCGCCAACCATATCGCGTTATCGACGACAGCAGATACTATCTAATGCAACTGTACTAGGATTGGCTAAAGAACAGGTTGGTTGTCTGCGTTTCCATTGGAGCGCTGGTACTAGGCCCAACGTTGAAAAAACAGTGTGGTGCGCAATTCTATCGCTCCATCATTGCGCGAACGGTGGTAACCCTACACATTCCGGTTCTGTTCAGCCCTGCATTTGTACGGGGGGGTGCGGACTTGACTGATCCGAGTACAACTAGAGATACACAAAGTTGGACCCCCCTCACAATCATTCACGCCTAGGCCCAGTTCAGCAGCCACGGAAGAAGGACGGAAGAAAATAATTCAAATCTTCTTCGAAGCTTCGAGTCGCATTATCGAGGGCAAAACAGTGCGGGCTGTAGGGTAAAACTTTCGGAAATCGAAGCGCAGGTGTTTAACAGCAGCGACACGAACCCCATCTAAAATTGATTCCGCGCCGTCTTCTGTCCTTATCCTCCCCCCCTTGGCGGAACGTTTCCGCCCTAGTGAGACGGAAGAAGAAAATGATTCTTCTCCAACACAAGAATCAGAAATGTTGATTCCACAAGATTCACAGTTCACGGGACAATAACAGTACATCGATGGGATCGGTTATCCAAACAAACCAGACTTCTCCAATAGCGTGGGGTTCTATCCCCCTTTTTTGTTTGGGGCAAGCCCGCTACAGTGCCCCGGGACATTCGAATGTCCAGGCAAATGTGCCTAGACATGCTGCGCTGTTTCCCAACCTCCCCCTCCAACCTGCGCCAGCTCCCCTGTGGCGCAGGTTGTCCGCGGAGCGGTCAAATCAGGGTCAAAATTTGTTGACCCGGCTTTGACGCGCGCCTCATCTTCCCCTCATCTTCCTGAAATTTTTCTTCCCCCTCGCTGCCGAACTGAGCCCTAGTATCAACCCATTCCTGGGTGGTGGGGATGTACTATGTAACAAATGCACGGAGCTCAAACATTCCCCCACCTTGTCACAAATGACGCAGTTGAGTCAGCTCCGCACGTGGCGGCGGCGACCTACACCCGCCGCTCTGTCAGTCATTACACTAATCGGGTGGCTTTTCCCCTTCGCGACTCGATCGGTGGCTTCTGTAAGGCTCTCCCCAATTCTCAGTCGGACTGAGTCAGTGCAACTTGCCAAAACCCCGAGTATGCATTTTGCTAGGTGTCACGACAGAGCTACTACTCAGAGTCACCAGAAAGTGTGACTAGAGCCGCTTGTATCTCTCAACTACTACTTCTACTGCAAGTAGTACAAGCTTTAGAATGCCGAGTCCTTCCTAATTTTCCCTAATTCTTTTAGTATCAAACTTTGACGTCTTAGAATCTATCTTTATTAACTCTCTCATTCTACGTATCAAATCATTTTTGAAATCCAAGGCATCACAAATCCTACCCCAATGTTTTCCCCAGGCTAGCTCTTTTCCGCCAGGGCCAAGATTCCCCATCCGCGTCGAGCGTGGCAACGTTGCCTCCTCCGAGTCGTCCTCCCTTTCCTCACTCTCCCTCCCGAAGACGTGTTTCCCCTCTTCTCCCCCCCTTCCCTCCCCACCCACCCCACACCTCCCCTCTCCTCCCCACCAGGGCGTGTACCCACCGCATTTGTTCTTGTGGGACTTCTCCAGCTTTTCGCCCGCCGAATCCGCCATTTGCGGCTCCTGGCCCGCAGACTACGCCGCGCACCACAGTGCCATCCGGCAGGCTAGCGCAGCCGCGCACCGCGGCGCACGTGGAGCTCGTCAAGCGCACCAGGAGGAGCAAAATTCTGGCGTGGTTCACCGCGCCGCCCCCGCACCCATACGATCGTGCTATTCGCTTCCGAACCTTTGAGTGGCTGGAAGGGTGCGGTGGGTATGGCGACGCGCTCAATGGGCTATTGTTCGCGTTTGTAACGGCCTTACTTGACGGCCGTGCTCTCATCGTCCGGCACGACTGCCTACCGGCTGCGTTCCTCTCGGCCATGATCGACTGCCAGCTGTCTGACGACGTGCCTCTAGATCCCGCGACCGTCGTCCCTCCATTAGACTACTACGGCGACGGCGTGGTCGCTGCGCGCCCGCCACCTGCGAAGGCAGGGGAAGTGGTGCGACTAGACCTACGAAACAAGCGTGTGGAGCTCGAGATCTATTTCAAGGAGCTTGAGAATGCGACTAATATCCGCGTGGCGGCAAATCGGGGCATGCTGACGCACTTGGCAACCAAAGCGGAGGGCGCATGGGCAGACAGATTCAAAGCCATGGGCATACGGGCTGCCCATACGCTGTGGGGTGCTTTCACAGGTTCCTACTGCGGTGAGCGATGGGCGTGGGGAGGGAGCACGGTATGTGGATGAATAGAGGCATGTGGATAGATGAGGGGCGGCATGTGGAAGAATGGGGGGCACGTGGATGGATGAGGGCCATGTGGATGAGTGTGCACCAGGGGAATGGGACAACTGACACCCTGTGTTGTAGGTCAGCCTGCGTTTGACCCTCTCTCCAACAAATTTGCTACCTTGCTATCCTGCACGTGCTTTCCCAAACCCACGCAGGCCGTGTGACGAGGTGAAGGAACTCTTCCACAGCACGATGCAGAATCTGGAAGCACAGAAGGCGCCAGGCAGCAACAGCAGCAGCATCAGCAGCCACGTGGCAACGTTGGGCATTCACATCCGCGTGCAGGACGATGTGGTGTGGGCGGGTGACCGAGGTGCGCCCAAGGAGCTGAGCATGCAGGACGTGGAGGCGCTGGTGGGGAACGCAAAGCAGTGGCTTGACTGTGCTGCGGTGCGGGATTGGGGTGGGGAGGGATGGGCAGCTTAATGACCGTGGGTGGATGAATGGATGGGTGGTGGTGGATGAGTTGTGAATGGGATTGGTGAATGTGGGATGGCAGGATTCACTTGGGCTTCTGCATAGACGGTCGTGCATTTTTATGCGGTTGCGTGCCTTGTTGCACTCCACGTTTCCAACTGAATTCCTTACCCGCTTGGCTAATCACTGCCCTACCCAATTTCTACCCACATGACAATTCGGCTTTACACTCTGTGACGAGTTTGCTCACTTAGATATCTTTGTACCTTCCTTGTGTTTCTGGTGGGCAATGTAACACGACCAGGTGTTGCTTACCCTCATCTCTAAACCCTACTACGCCAACCCTAAATCATGTCCAACCTTCATGTTAACGTCCTCTCCCTATTTTCTTGTGCAACCAGGGTGTGGAGGCGTACTGGTTCCCTTCATCCCTTTCTGTGCACTGGTTGGTCATCACCAACTCAGCACAGCTGAAGGCTGCCATCAAATCCATGTTAGAGACTAAGGACGGAGTCTATGAAGATTAGGTGCCTAAATTTCTCAAAATCGTTGGTCTCTATTTCTGGACAGAATAGTCGCGCTCACAAGAAACGCCGTCGGTGAAAACTTCACGGTCAAAACTTCACCGAACTCAGAGATAATGTAGCCCTAGTCCGTGGCGACAATTCCCAATTTGAATCGTATCAAGAGGTGAAGTAAATCTTGACTTATCAATTTCGGCGCACAGGGGGGTTTGCTGCCATAAGAACTTAACTCAATCACAAGAGTCTCACACAAGTTCACACAAGAGAAAGAGTAGCACTAAACCAGATAGAAGGGATGAGGAGGACGAGAGGGAAGGTCCCAAGAGAGTCCCCAACCAAGGAAACCCCATGCCACACAATTTCCTTCCCCATAGGCAACCCAACTTTGACCTTTGTCACTATCCCAACCTCCACAATCCACCTCAACCCAAATTGGCCACACTTGCCAACCTGGTTTGGTTTCTCCCAACCACTTGGCAGCATCTACAGTGATGGGATACAAATTTCCCAGCCCCCACAAGTCTGTACCCCATATTGAGTCAACCCCACAACTTCCCATAGTCATCACAACCAAACACGAAAAAACATACGAACTTCGAAAGTTCGTAACTTTCTTGTTCGTGCTCCGATTGAAGCGATCCTTGGCTTGTCAGAAAGCTCTTGAGCAGAGGAGTCAGTTCAGATATCTGTTCAAGCCAAATAACATTCACACACACTCAGAAAAACCAAACCGCACAAAACACAAATTCTTACACACGCTCACACCACGCATGCAGCGCACAAAACACATGATGGGAGGCAGACAGACGTGAATGCATATGATTGCATCACACAACAAACTCCCCCTCCGGCTGCCAACCATCATCCCACATGCCATAGCTCAAGCATGCACCCTCAATGCACACTCATCCCAGCAAGCTTCATGCCCTTCCAATGCTCAGATTCAGCCAGGCGCTTGGTGAGAATGTCAGCCGCCTGCTGATGGGTCTTCACAATCTCCAGCCGCACCTCCTTGTCCAGGAGCCTCCTCACCCAGTGCCACTTGGGCCTGATGTGTTTGGTCAGCCCATGAAGACAAGCATTCTTTGCTAGCTTCACCGCCGACTCATTGTCACAGAAAATCACAGTCGGCTCCCTCTGACCAACTCCGATCTCCTCCAACAAACGCCTCAGCCCCACCACCTCCTTTGCCCCGTGATGCAGGGCCATGTACTCTGTCTCACACGAGGACTGCCCCACCTCGTTCTGCTTCTTGCTGCGCCAGCTCACTGCACCACCTCCAAACAGGCACACATAGCCTCCAATGCTGGTGCCATCTGCCTTCACAGAATTGAAGCTAGCGTCAGTGTAGCAGGTCAAAGCATCTCCCCCTTTCCCAAATCAGCTGCACCCCTCTGCAGCCTCTGTCGCACAGCACTGTACTCCAAGCCCACTGATGCCGTAGCGCTCACATAGCGGACCAACCTCTTGGCCGCTTCCAGCTGCTCATGACTGGGGCGTGCAACGACACTTGCAAGCCTGGATGTAGCAAAGGCAATGTCAGGCCGCGTGTGGTTAGCCGCATAATTGATTGCCCCCACCATGGAATGAAACAGCTTCCTGTCACTCTCACCCACCACCTCCTTATCAGCACAGGGCTCCACTGTGAACCCTGAAGGCAGTGGGGTGGCTGGCTTCCCTCCATCTTGCTGCCCATACTTCTCGGCCAGCCCCTCACAGTACTTCCTCTGGTGCAACCTCAACACTCCCTTGTCAAGGTCCCTCTCCACATGCATCCCCAGGTAGTACTTCACATCTCCCATCTTGGAGCACTTGAACTGCATCTCCAGCATCTCCTCCACATGCTCAATCATTGCAGATGACTCAGAGAAGAGCAGGATGTCGTCCACATACACCAGGAGCATGAGAAACTGCTCCTTCTCTTGTAGCAGGAACAGGCTGTGGTCACACTCACTCTTCTTGAACCCCCCAGCCAACAGTGTCTCCTCTAGCTTGTGGTACCATGCATGAGGAGCCTGCTTCAGGCCATAGATGGCCTTCTTCAGCCTGCACACCCTGCCGCTGCCATCATCTAAAACCCTCAGGCTGTAACAAGTACAGCTCCTCCAGAATGATCCCATTGAGGAAGGCGGTGGTGATGTCCATCTGCTTCACCCGCCATCCACGGTTTGCTGCCATTGCCAGTGACACTTTTCAATGTTGTACCTTTCCCCACAGGAGCAAAGATCTTGTCAAAATCCTTCCCTTTGTCTGCTGAAACCCCTTAGCCACAAGCCTTGACTTGTAGCGGGTCAGCTCCCCATCTGGTCCGTACTTATGCCTGAAGATCAGCTTGGAAGAAATGGCCTTCTTCCCAGGTGGTAGCTCATACAGCTCCCACGTCATCGTTCTCCAGCAGAGAGTCATACTCCTCCTTCACACTCTGCTTCCATTTTTTCCAGCATCCGGCCTGCTCAATGCTTCAGCTAGCGTCTTGGGCTCAGGAACGGCTGCCCAGTATTAGTGTGGCTATCTCATCCTCACCACACTGCTCAGGCCACACTCCCAGCCCGTACCACCTTGGCTGCCAAGCTCGGATAGGTCAGCCGGTTAGGAGGGTAGCACATCCCTCCTGGGACGGTCAGCCGGACGTGCGGCACCTTGTGGAGCACCTTGTTGCTGCTGCGGTTGCTGCTGCTGCTGCTCCTCCACCTCAGGTTCTCCCCCATCCTCTATCACTCCAGAGATCTCCTCCTCTGAGACAGTGACCTGAACTTGCCTCGAAGGCCGCTGCACCTCATCGGCCTAAATGATCAGCGGTGTAGTAAGGAAGCTTCTGCTGATGGTGCTGCTTCCACTCCTTGTTGTACAAGGACTCGAGGAACTTCACATCCCTCGAAACAGTCAACTTCTGGCTGGTCAAGTCCCATAGCAGCCAGCCCTTGTGATCCTTAGCAAGCCCCAAGTGCACACCCCATCTCCCAGAAGCTTCCTGTTTTCCCCTCTTCTCCTTAGGCACATGAACACCACCATGCAGCCGAAGGCTCTCAGCATGTTGACTGCTGGTGCATTCCCATACGTGTAGGGGACCCACTGCTTGTCCCCCACAGTCGCCAGCACCCTGTTCTTCACAAGGGCGACCTGCCGCGGTGCAGTCACCCAAAACGGATCCGGCAGCCCTGCACGCCCAAGGAGAGTGCGAGCACCTTCCTGCAGGGTCCGGTTGAACCACTCAGCCACGCCGTTCTGCTGAGGGTTGTAGGGCACTGTGAGCTGATGCTGGATCCCTTCTTCTTCAGCACCGCCTCCAAATCAGCGCCAATGAATTCTCCTCCGTTGTCGGTGCAGATCACCTTCACCTTATGACCGCTCTCCCTTTGAGAACTTGGCATCCACTCCTTGAGAACAGCCGTTGCTACCTCCCCCTTCGTCTTGAGAGGGTACACCCACACCGCACCTGTATGGTCGTCCACAATGGTCAGGAAATAGCGGCTGCCCGAGAGAGAAAGGGCCCTCGTAGGCCCCACCACATCCATGTGCACAAGCGCGAGTGGTGCTTTGGCTGGTCCCGTGCTGCTGCTGAAGGGAAATTTCGTGAACTTGGTCTCAAGGCATATAGGGCAGCTCCCAATCTCCTTCGCTGCCCCCTTCACCTCCAACCCCTTCAAGCTCCCATCCGTAACCAACTTCTACAGCATAGGAAAGTTCACATGACACAGCCTCTTGTGCCATGTCTCCCAATCCGCCTCACCACTCCTAGATGAAGCCTTTGCCCATGCAGCTGTCGCATCCACACCAGCAAGCACCTCACTATGTGGCTACTGTGTCTGCTGCACCTTCTTCACTGCATCCAGGGCCCCAGCAGTTGGTGTAGTCTTCTCTCCCTCTGCAGCTACCTTAGCCGTTGCTGCAGCCGCTGCCATTGCTGGTGGTTTCCCATTCCAAGGGATGATGGGCAGCTGCCACAGGTCCTTGATGCAGCTGCACTTCTCCTCCAAGTCCCACATCAGCAACTTCCAAGCTTTGCACGGCAGCTGGTTGGGCCGAAAGTCACTTTGGCCTTGCTTTTCCGCAGCCGGCGCACAGAGAGGAGGTTAGCAGACAAACCTTCAACCAACAGCACATTCCCCAGCCCCATAAGCCCCCCATTAGCTCCCATTACCTTGGCATTCCCCACACCAATCACAGGGAGCAAAGCACCTTAAGCGGCAGCCACAAACTTTATCTTCCCAGGGGGCTTTACCTCGTCAACCAAATCTGCCCGTGGGGTCATGTGACTTGTGCAACCTGAATCTATCACCCAGTGGGTGAGGGGTGCATAACAACCTTCCCAACTAAACCCACATCACCCCTACTCCCTTGCACATCCTCAACCATGAGGAACATCCCAGGGTCGGCTTTACCTTGTGCACCTGAACCTTGTACAGCGCCACCTCGTGCACGTTCACCACTTGGCGGCTTCATGCATGGAGGCGCCCATCCTTCAGGCTGGCTGAAACACTTGAACCATGGGTGTCCAGCCTTCTTGCAGTACCAACACGCATCCTTTATTTGGGTGCTCCCCCTGCCTCTAGAGCTCCCATGCCCCTCATTAAAGTCACCTCGGCCTCTCCCTCCCCCTCTTCCTCTGCTGCCTCCTGCAGCTCCATACCCCTCAGCAGTTTTGTTGGCAGCACCACCTCCCGTGTGGCTCCTGCGGAAGTCCTCCTGCAGAATCTGCCGCCGTAGCCACTGAGGCGTCCATTTTTCCTGTTGAACGTTGAGGGTGGGGATGAGGTTGTCCAACGAGTTGTCGAGCACCGAGATGATATTGGTGCACTGTTCCATCTGCGACACTTCGCTGCCCGCCGCTGCCATCATCGCATAGGTGTCCTTGAGCTTGTCAAGGACCGGTTTCACATCATCTCCGGTTTCATGGAGAGGGCAACCAACTCCTTCTCCAACACAATCACCATCGACAGCGTGTTGGGCTGAATCACGTCGCGTAGCAGCTTCCATACCTTAGGTCCGGAATCATCCAACTCCACCAAATCCTTGATGTGCTGGAACATGTCGTTGTTGACCGATTGGAGGATGAGGTCGTACAGCACCGCGCTCTTCTCAATCCACCGATCGCGGGCATCTCCTTCGCCCGGCATCTTCTCCTCTCCCATTGCAATTTCCACAAGCTTGTAGCGCTTGAAGATGCTCCGCATCTGCCTGTTAGACTCCCAACCACTAAACCATTGGGATAAAAGGGCTTGTTTTAGTAGCGGGTCAGTGCACCCATAACCCCCCGGGCAAACGCGCCTGTAACCCTCCCTAGGATCGATCGGGGATCTCACAGTGTAGCTCTACTGACACCCCCCCACACTGGGAGGCCTAGGACTGAGCACAGTGGCAACGGCCAACATGTGCATACATCGGGATTCGAACCCGAGACCACTCTGATACCATGTCAGAATCCCAACCACTAGACCATTGGGATAAAAGGGCTTGTTTTAGTAGCAGGTCAGTGCGCCCATAACCCCCCAGGAAAACGCGCCTGTAACCCTCCCTAGGATCGATCGGGGATCTCACAGTGTAGCTCTACTGACACTGCCCGCTCCATTCCTCATAGTTGGAGCCATCCAAAGCTTCGATCTTGGATGGTGGTGGTTCACTCCTCTTCTCAGCTGCATCTCCACTCCCTTGATTCATCTCCTCTGCTCCCAATCAGAGGTTTCAGCTCCCCCTTTTGCTGGTCACAATGTAGATCTACACAATCTTCACAAGTGTCGGCGCAAACGAAATTTCGGCAGAGTTTCCCCTTAGCAGAAGTCACATCCAACCTTCAGAACTCCACTTAGGCACGCCCACAGGCCATGTGGGTCTAGGAGGGTCTTCACACTTCAATAGACTCCCCATAAGGTCCTTAATCAGCTCTGATACCACTTGTTAGAGACTAAGGACGGAGTCTATGAAGATTAGGTGCCTAAATTTCTCAAAATCGTTGGTCTCTATTTCTGGACAGAATCGTCGCGCTCACAAGAAACACCGTCGGCAAAACGTTCACGGTCAAAACTTCACCAAACTTAGATATGATGTAGCCCTAGTCCGTGGCTACAATTCCCACTTTAAATCGTATCAAGAGGTGAAGTAAATCTCGACTTATTGATTTCGGCGCACAGGGGGGTATACTGCCATACGAACTTAACTCAATCACAAGAGTCTCACACAACTTCACACAAGAGAATTAGAGTAGCACTAAACCAGGTGGAAGGGATGAGAAGGACGAGAGGGAAGGTCTCAAGAGAGTCCCCAACCAAGGAAACCCCATGCCACACAATTTCCTTCCCCATAGGCAACCCATATTTGACCTTTGTCACTATCCCAACCTCCACAATCCACCTCAACCCAAATTGGCCACACTTGCCAACCTGATTTGGTTTTTCTCCAACTATTTGGCAGCATCTACAGTGATGGGTACGAATTTCCCAACCCCCACAAGTCTGTACCCCATATTGACTTAGCCCCACAACTTCCCATAGTTACCACAACCAAACACAAAAAACATACGAACTTCGAAAGTTCTTGTTCGTGCTCCGATTGAAGCGATCCTTGGCTTGTCGGAAAGCTCTTGAGCAGAGGAGTCAGTTCAGATATCTGTTCAAGCCAAATAACATTCACACACACTCATAAAAACCAAACCGCACAAACACAAATTCTTACACACGCTCACACCACGCATGCAGCGCACGAACACATGATGGGAGGCAGACAGACGTGAATGCATATGATTGCATCACACAACAATCCAGATACCCCAAAAAGGTGTATGTGTATGTGTGTGTGTGTGTGTGTTTGTTTGTGTGTGTGTGTATGTGTGTATGTGTGTATGTGTGTTGTCGGTTTGTGTGTGTGTGCGCGCATGTATGTATGTGTGTGTGTATGTGTGCATATGTGTATGTGTGTATGTGTGTATGTGTGTATGTGTGTATGTGTGTGTGTGTTTGTTTGCTATGCATGTCTCTGTGTGTGCGCATTCGTACGTGTGTGTGCGCGCGCGCGTGCCCCCATGGATGCGTGTCGTAGTGTGTGTATGTGTGTGTGTTGTGTGTTGTGTGTGTGTATTTTTGTTTGTGTGTGTGTGTGTTGTGCATGCATACATGCATGTAGGTGTGGTTATGGGTGTGTATGTGTGTGCACACATGCGTGCGTGCATGCATGCTTGCATGCATGGTTGCATGCGTGCGTACGTGCGTTCATGTGTATGCCCATGTCTGCAACTTCATGCAAGCACCGGCATTGAATAATAGGAAGTTTACAACTCATAAATGTGTATGGAATGAGCAAAGCGGGTGCTCGAGTTTCAACCTTACGACGCCCACAGGAGCCCATGTGGTCAGAACAGCCCTTTGAGAAGAGTTTGGGATGGTAAAAGAACTGTCTGAGATCTTTGAATTCCAAGAACAAGGTCTCATAGGCAAGTGGTTAAGAATTAGGGTATAGAAAAACACCAGGCTGATCGCTGCTGTGTTGTGGCTGATGCTATTATAATTTCGTTTGGTCTACGTTTCCTCTGCCCAATATCATGTTGCGCACCCAGGAGGGAGGGAAAAATGGGGTGGGGACGACTGTTGTATATATAGCCAATCTAAATCAAAGTGCGTCCTACTTCCTACATTTTTTCTCTCCTTGTGTGCAGGTCATCGTAACAGTGTTCGTCCCATGCCATTCCAATGGACTAGCTCCAATGAAGCATGAGGGCACGAGTAGCACTTCTGTCATAGCGAGAAGCAAGCAAGATAAGGTGAGGATGTTCCAAGAGCTGGTCATCGAGTGGTTGCTACTAGCGGCATGTGATGCTACATTGCTTCTATGTCCTGATTCTCGCACACGGCCGTGTTTTGCTCTATGCGGACTCTTGCCATCTTTGAGTATGACAGCTGTAACCCTGAGCAGCCAACCGAGGCAGCGTACATGGGGGAAGTTGGAGTGGGATTTAATGAGCTTGGACTTCCCTCAGATTTTTTTCTGACTGTGCTTTTCTTCTGGTTTATTAGGAAAAGGGTAGATTGTGCACGTGTATTTTCCACATAAAGGTCACTCAAATAAAAACACATGGTAATAAAATACAAAGGATCTAGAGTTGGAGCAGATTTATTTCCTTGTACGGTAATAGGTTAGGACGTGGCTATTACATAGGCAAAAACTAATTCATTTGTTGTCGGTATGTCCTCAGTTTTGCAATAATGTGCTAGTATATGCCACTAGGACCACGCCGCGCATGATTTTTAGTACAAAGCATGGCTATGCTATTACGTAATTCATATGTTTTGTAAAACAGAGTTGCGCGGAAAACGAATAACGAAGCTGTGGCAATATGGACTGATGATACAATGAAATGTCAGAACATTATAGCTTATGCTTTTGTGTAGGCTGTAGTGGGGTATCCCATAGGGGGTACAACCCAATTAGGGTTAGTGCTTGTACCCACTTCACTCATAGTTCATTCATTTTTTTCTCGTTCTCATTTTCTCATGGTATCGAGCAGGTTCCCTCGTGGGAACTGTTCCTAGGGCCCACCGATCCTCCCTTTTTTACTGCCCGGGGCACGTCCTGCCCCTGCCCAAAGGCGCCTAGGGTCGCGCCCTTCCTAGC